TCCCAGAATTCTTCACAGTTGTCTCAGGCTCATTCCAGGCTGTTTGTCTCAAGTTATCTTCTCCAAACCTGAGCTCTGAAAAGAAGGATGGGAGCACGGCCGGCGAGGAGAGCAGTCGAGCTTTGTCCTCTGGTTTGGCAGCAAAGCCAGGCTCGGCCTTGGTCCATGGAGGCTGCAGTGCGATCTGGCCACTTATTCATTCCACTTCCTCCCCTGCCTGCGCCCGCCAGTCACAGAGCTGGGGAAAGTGTGGGTGTTTGGAGGGGCTGCTGTGCTTCCCGTGTCTGGACCTTTTAATTTTAGCTTTTGGACTTTTGATCAAATTCTCTGATTTTTTTTAATTTCCTTTGAAAGTATTGTAGTTTTGGGGGGTAGTTAAGAGGAGTTGTGCTGAAACAACGAGATAAACAAACAGTGACGCAGAGTCGGCAGCAGCGTAGGCGATGAGCTGGGCCTGCCTGCCATCTGGGCGGGCTGGGTGGAGGAGGACTCCCGCCCTGCACACTGGCCAGCTGGCTTGTGTTAAAGCACTGGCTGAAAATAACTCTCATTGTCTGGGAGCTGCTACTGCAGCAGTGCTGGCTGTGGCTGCCAAGGGGGCCGAGGCAGCGGGAGCTGGTACCTCCCACCTCCTTGGGCTCTTGCCCTTTGGGAGTAGTGCCCAGCTGGCCACAGCTGTGCCTACTGCCCACCAGTAGAGACACGTGGAGGGCAGGCTGGGCTGCTCCTAAAGCTCTGTCCTTTTGGCTGCCGGGGATGGGCCTTTGTGCCCAGTGTTGCCTTGGCCTCCCAAACTATGTGCCTCCTCACCACATTTACCCCTGCCCGTCTGTACAGTGGGCTGATCTGTGGATGCACGAGAAGACTTGGTGGCAGCTATAGCCCAGGGCTCAGCAGCATGTGGTACCCAGGACAGTGCCTCATGTTATCTCTGGGCAAGTTGTAGACTCAGCCTCTCATGCTCCCCACCCCTGTGGCTGAGCATGTGGGCTGGGGCTACCACATTTGGGAGAAGTGTCCAGCCACAGGGGATTTGGTGAAAGGTGGTTCTGAGAGGGAAAATATTAAAAAACCACCAGCTCACATTCTGTATTTGCTCAAAATAAACATCCCCTGCCTGCCTTCCCTAAAGCCTCCAGAATCCCCTTTGCGGGAAAGTTTCGACCACCTCGCCCCTGCCGCTCAGAGGAGCCATGCCATTTTTGTCTCTGTTCCTAAGATTTATGATTGACTAGGACCAATAGAAACAACTGGGAATTTTTTATGGTTCCTATTTCTGTGTTGGGTTTTCCCCAGGCCCGGCCTAAGGAGACTGACAAGGCAGGGGTGAGTCCCGAAGGACCTGCAGCTGAAGGAAACCCCAACCCCACCGGCATTTCCCTCCACGAAATGGGAAGGAAACAAGGAGGGGCTAACTGGCTGGGGGTGCAGAGCAGGAAAGGGAAGGGAACCTCTGCCACCAGAGCTGCCTCCCTCCTGTGTGGGGGGTGGGGGGAGGACAGGGTCATATGGGGAGTAGAAGCCTTGCTCCCACAGAACTCAGAAGGGGGTTGGCCACTACACGGGGCACTCTGCCTGTCCTCAAACTGGCAGTAAATCAGAGTAGCCTTGATGGAGAAGCATCAGATCCACCCCTTTCTGCTTCTTCCTGTTACAGGTTTTTATTATTAGACCTCTTGCCGGTTCCTCTGCTTTAGGACTCAGCCCCAGAATTGCTTTCAGTTTGAGCTCATCTTCCCCTTTCCCTACCGGTCTCCATCCCCAAGGATAGTGGTTAGAGGAAACGAGAGAGGGATCAAAGGAGAGGTAAAGGATTGCTCTGTCCTCAGTGTTGAGAAGCAGTTGCTGAAGGAGGGGCAGAGGCAGAGGCAGAGAGAGAGAGAGAGAGCCCAGAAGCAAGAGGGTGGATCCTTGGGATGTCACCACATTACACAGGCTATTCAGGAGGAAGGGTAAGGGCACTGTGTTGAGCACCCAGAGTGTTCCAGACAAATACAGACATAAAATGTTTATCCCTCATAAAACCGTGGGAAGTAGGGAGATTATCTCCGTTTCATGGATGAGCTCACGGAGGTTCAACAGCTCTGAAGAGCCGAAAGTTGCTTTGCGCTGACTCCGCATCCAGTGTCCTCCTCTCTGAGACAGAGCGCCTCCTTCCTGTTCAGCAAGGGTCTCGTGAGAAGGTAGCAAGGACTTAAGCCCGGCCTCTGCCTTCCGAGAGCCCACAGTCCCTGTGGAACGGCTGAATGTCAAGGAAACAAACCTTTGACTGAAACCGGAACCTCATCAGGTTTGCTCCCTGGCTGTCCCCGGAACTCAGGAAGTTGTCCTTCCTCGGGGAAGAGTAACTTCCTCAGGACATTGGAGCCCTGCTAGACTTGCGCACGTTATCAGGTGGATGCAGAAGCCCCAATGCCCTTGTCTGGCAGGGAGAGCATTGCCCTGGCTCCCAGCCCACAGCCAGTGACCATTTTCTTGTGAGAGTGCTGGAGGCTGAGGGACTTCCCCTTACCTACTTTCTTCCCCATCACACTTCAGCTGAAGAAGCAGAGAAGGCTGGCATCAAAGCTCTAGACTGGAGGATGTGGCCTGTGGTCAGAGCTGATGATTCTTGCTTCTGCCATCTGTTTCCATACTGTGGCATTTACGTCTTCTGAGCATCTAAAGTTTAGCCAGGTCCCTGATATGCCTGTTCCGTGTCCTCAGGCTAAGGTTCCCAAAGGGGGCGACTTTGCTCTGCATTTGAAACCCCAGGGCACCGAATGTTTCCTCATCAGTTCATCTGGTAGGGAAGTACAAGGCCACAGCAGCTGGCGGTGGTGGCTGAGAGAGGGAGTTGGTGTAGACAGGATATGATGCCTGCCAGAGTGGTGCCAGGCTCCCCACTCCCTCCCCAGTGCCTTTCTTCTAAGGGAGACAATAGAAAACTATTCGTGGCACGAACTTGGGATTCAATGGGCAGGTGACAGTGGTGTGCTTAGGCTGTGCACAGAGCCAGAACCAGGCCTAAGGCAGTTTCTGCTCCGATCTCACTTGGGTTCAGCTGGCCCTGGTTAGACAGAAGACCTTGCTCCAGGCCCACCTTTGACCTTTGGGCCCTTGTTGTGGCCTCTGTCCTTGTCCTGTTATCCACAGATATGCCGAGATTGGCCCTTAGCAAAGTAGTTCTAGAGAGAACATTCAGAGTTGTATTTGCAGCCAACCCCACCCCAGCAGTCCCTACGGTGTCAGCAGTGGGGGGATTCTGTTGGCCCTTCTCTCCTGGGGAGGTTCAGCAACCATGGGGGAGAGGTGTGATGTGGTGGTATCTTCCCCCTTTTCTCTCACTTGCTCCACTTATATATTCCTAAATTCTACCATTTCTAAATGCTGACCAGAGATCCCAACCCTACTTCCTTTTCTGACCCATAGTGAACCCACTTCCAGCCAGGATCTGGGTCCATAGCTCGAGCTGGGACGTCTTAACCATAGATTTACTATCAACTTACTCTCGACTAGGTGCCTGTCACGGTATTAGATATTATTGGGGTTTGGAGCCATATGAATAGACAGTCCTTTGGGGGTAGATGAGCACAGCTGATTTAATAGTATGTGCATAGATAAATGCATAATAGATACGTGTGATAGAAATAAATGTTTAAGGATTTCCTTTCAGTTTCCTAGGAAATGAAGGGCGTACTTTCAGGATATTCCTGCAGCTTCTGGAGTAACCCAGGGCCCGTGTAACTACTCAGTGCACACAGTTCCTGTCCCCAGGGATGAGGATATCAGGGAGTGGGCAGAGGTAAACCAAGCTTGGGTTACCAGGGAGTTAAAGCTGAACTCGGAGCAGTCGGCAAAGGAGAGAAAGATGAGAGGAAGGCCCTCCAGGTGGCCTGCAGTGTGCTGGGGAAGAGGCTGGATTTGTGGGAAGTCATGCGGGTTATCAGACAGCTATGATACTTCAGATAGGAGATCGTATTTGATTCAAGAGTATGGGGGGTGGGCGGGTGCAGTGATCTGCCTTTAGAGGCCAGGGCTGTGGCCTAAAACAAAGGCAGCCAGACTGGTTAGCAGAGAGGCTTGGCTGGACGGGCATACAAGCTGCGGTCAGTCATGCATGGATGCCTCGGGCTTCACTCACTCATTTATTCATTCAGCAAACGGTAGTGAACAAAATAAAATGATGCCTGGCCTCTATCGTCTATATTCTAGATTAGAGTGTCTCAACAAAGGGTCAGGACACTTGACTGTGTCTTAATTGGGAGGTGTGTATATCATAAGTAATTTGCTACTAATAATTAAAGTACTGAAGTTTTGTAAGTTATTTCCTAAAAATATTCTGAGCAGTTATCTTTGTGCTGATGTCCTTCTTGCATCCTGATGTGGGGCAAGAGGTGGAGCTGTAGCATCTACATGGGCTGTGGGTGACTCAGGATTGGCCCCTGGGTGTGCATGGTGCAGGAAGGGCACCCATCTCCCAGACCATGGGGGAAAAGCAGATTGAAAGTTTCTGCTTTAACCTGGTAGCTTTTGAACGTCTTTAAACTGTTCCATATGAAGAAACACATTTTACAGCATGACCTATATGTGGTGTACACATAACCTGTAAAAGAAACAAAAGCTTCATTATTTATACTTCCTACTTGCAGGGAGTTAGAGCTAAACTCGCAGCAGTCGGTAAAGGAGAAAAAGATGAGAGGAAGGCCCTCCAGTGGCTTGCGGTGTGCTGGGGAAGAATATCCTATTCTATTTTAACTGTTCATTTTCATTTAAAATAAAAATACACTTGACACACTAAATTGATTCCATGACCTATGGTGTGGGAAACATTGTTCAACCAAACGGCTAACTATGAAGGGGAGGCAGGAGGTCTGTCCCGCCTCTCTGAGCCTTCCTTATTAGCAATCGAGTATCAGGGTGAACTGAGGGTCCTGGAGGGAAAGGTGTGCATAGTCTAGCTTTTCTTTCCTTCGGGTGGGGGGAGCGTTCAGCCCAATTGACTTGGGTTCTCTCCTCAGAGCTCCATGAACCTGCCCCCTGACAAGGCCCGGCTCCTGCGGCAGTACGACAACGAGAAGAAGTGGGATTTGATCTGTGACCAGGTACGGGGTGTGGGACAGGGCTGGGAAGGGGGGTTATGTTTTAGGCAGAACAAGGTGGTAGGACCAAAGGCTGCAGCCCTGGAGTTCCTTGAGGAAGCCTGGCCTGGACTCTGCCTCAGTCCATGCTTACTTCCTTTTCCAAGAGGATAGAGGCTTCCACAAAGAGCTCTCTTGATTTCTCCCCAACACACAGTAGCTGAAGGAGGTTTGTGTAGGACTGGGGTGTGGGGTTGGCTGTGGAGGAGTTTGGTAGTTTCCCAGCAGAACCTGTTTCTGCCTTACCCCAGGGCGAGGGCTATGCCTGGCAGGGAATAATCCAAAGGACCCCTTCTCTCTCGCTCTGCCCTGGAAATGGCAAATAGCAGGGTTTTTCTTAATATTTGCAGGCCTCTGTGAATGAGAAGCCCCGGTCCCCTAGTTTCCTGTCCCCAAATCTCAGAATGTGAGGATTGGAAGCTCTCTCTACATGAATAGTGTTTAGAGCTGGAAGAGATTATAGAGATGATTAGCTCAGAACCAAGAACTAACACCTATGGTCTGGCTCTTTACCCTGCAGACATTTGAAGATCAGTCATGAGTCCCTGAACTCAGACAGGCCCATCTGCTAGGAGCATTGGCTTCTACTTCCTTACCTCTTGGAGGTGTGGGAGCACCTGGCATGGTGTAGCCAGTGTGTTTGCCTAGCACTTTGCCATGGAGCCTTGCATGAACAAATTTATTATTTCTTTTTAAGCACTGAACAAAATCATGATGCTAACATTTATTGAATGCTTACATGGACCAAGCACTGTATATCCTGAAATATCTCACAGAAACCCAGTGAGGAGGCATTGTTACATTTTATAGATGAAGAACCCTAATAAGTGACGGAGCAAGGGCTCAGGCAGCTGGCTCTGCTAACCGTTAGGCTCCTCTGCTGCCCCAGTCACGCTGCTTGACCTCAGGTGGGCTTATACCTCAGATGGCCTCGTCCAGGTCCCTCCGTCCCCAGGGAAGGCCCGTTTCCTTGTGTTCTGCATTAAGAGGAGTTGGCGAGCACCCGTTTGAGGTTTGGAGAACAGTAGCCCTTTGGTACTAAGTTTCTTTAATTGATCATTTCTCAGTCTTTTCTGGGTCACATAATTTCAGCTCATTCTCAAACCTTTTTTCTTTCATTTTGATTTTTTAGACCCTGAACCCCCCCCCCCCCCATTATAGGACCAGAATACCTAAGGGTTCTCCCTGAGTTTCCCCTTGGGTCACATGAGCGGGCTGGGCCAAAATGGGAAGGGCATGGTCCTGTGCCCTGTGTGGAAGGAAGGAGATGGGGGGTGACCTTGCTTAAAGCGGCTTCAGTGTGGAGGTTGCTTTGGAGTGTTGGGGCCTGGGGTCGTGGCAAGCAGTAGGAAGTGTGTTTGCAGCCCTGACCTTTGTTAATGCTGCAGAAACAGTCCATCCCAACCTCGGGCTCAGACCCGAGAAAGTTGGGTTCTACAAGGCCAGCTCCCCTCCCCCTGGCCTTCCTACCCCCATCCATCAGTTGGCCAGGCAGCAAACAGAATTTCCCAATTGTGTTATCATTTTGGATGCTGTTCAGAATTCTGTAACCTCCACATTTTTTCAGCAAGCAGCAGGTTCTTAAAATAATCTTTTTTAAAAAGTAGATTTTTAAAAACTTTTTTATTGAATTTATGGGATGACACTGGTTGTTAAATTTATATAGGTTTCAGGTGTACAATTCTATAATACATCAACTGTATCTTGAATTGTGTGTCCAAGTAAAATCATATTGACATAGAAATATTGTAGGCTCAGGGAGCACTCATTGGAGTTGGGGAAGATGGCAACAGAGGAGAAACCCCTGACGATTGATTAGGAGGGGAATGTACTGTTTGGGGTTTGGGCGATGTTAAGAGCCAGGTGACACACTTTAGGAGGCGGGGTCCCCTCATATCGAGCACGATGAGTGCTCTTCTTCCTCACTCTCCTCGGGACTGAGCTCTGTGCACACACGTGTTTCCCTTACAGGAACGATTCCAGGTGAAGAACCCCCCACACACTTATATCCAGAAACTCCAGAGCTTCTTGGACCCCAGCGTAACTCGGAAGGTGAAGTACAAGGCAGGGAGGGCCCATCTTGCTGCCCTCTATAGTCCTGTGGGGCTTGGGGGCAAACCCTTTGACTTGGGTCACGTGCTTCTGAGCAGTGGGAGTGGGTTCTAGACCATGGGCCTGGAGTGGCTGGCGAATGATAGAGGGAAGGCCTATAACTGCCCTGTACCCCCTCCCTTTTTTTTCCTACCCCTTTTACTTGTACTGTGGAGTTGCGTTGATCAGTGACCGAAAATTCCACGTTTACAGAAGTTCAGGAGGAGAGTGCAGGAGTCGACCAAAGTACTGAGGGAGCTGGAGATCTCGCTTCGTACCAACCACATTGGGTGAGTCGGGTTTGGCCACCAGAGCCTCTTTGCCTGGTCGCCCAGGATCTGGTCCTTCTGAGGAGAGTTTGCCTGTTCATCCCCTGCCAGGGGCAGAGCTGCCTCCTGAATGGCTTTGGTTCCCCGGAGCTTCAGACGGTTCCTTTCTGGCTTTTCTTCCCCTCATCTCTGCCAGCTGCTGACTGGATGCTCCTGGCAAGCTTGGGGCCCTTCCTGGGGTCCTCAGCCTGTAGCTTTGAGTGGGAAACATTCCCATAGCAGCTGAGACTGGAGTCTGCCTATGGCCTGGGACTGGGCCAAGTAAGGTCCAGAGAAGGCTGGGGATGGGGAGCACTTTGCATTGGGTAGCTGATACCTAGTTCCTGGACTATTTTGTGTCCAGAAGATTATTTGCTTGATTTTAAGACAATCTTAAAATGAGTAGAACTTTCCCGAAGTACCAGCAAAAAAGATCTGAGGCAGTGGAGGCCAGGAGTTGAATGTCTTTTGCATTAACAGACCTTAGTCCTGCCAACCCACTGAAGGCTCCTAGGAGCTGTGTGAGTTTTTTCTTTAGTCTCTGATGGGGAACCAGGACTTGCTGAACAGGCAGAGGCTAATGTGTGAGGTGCAGTGAAAGATGGCTGTGGTGTCAGTTTTATAAAACCATAACCAGCCAGAGTGTGTCTAGTGAAAGTGGGTGAGAGGTAGGGAGGTGGGTAGAGAAAGAGAGAGTGAGAAAGAGAGGACCCAAAGGACCATGAGAAACACCTGATAGACGACAGCAGGCGGGGCTGCAATCCTAACCAAGGGCGTGCATGAGTGTTGAGAACTTACATGAGTGAGAATCTAGCTGGGAGTAGGAGTGGGGGTCACTGGACAGGTGCCAGCCTCAGGGTCCTGGGTTTCCTGAGAGAAGAGCCAAATGACATCATCTGCCTTCCCTACTGTCCGAGGCCGCTGCCTGCTTGTCTACCCCAGGCTGAGCCTGACCAGGGCTCTGGTAGAGGCTCCCTGCATGTAGCCAGCTCCTGCAGCAGTCACAGAGGAAATGGCACCCGAGAGAACAGGAAGGGGACAGTTCCTGGCCTCAGTAGCTGTGCTCAGGGGCCCCAGTTGGCTTTCATACTTCATCTGTGAACCAGACATTGAAAGCTGAACCACAAGAAACAAGTAATGAAGCCTCCACCTTTATTTGGTGACTCCTCAGAGAAGGAAAAACTGGCAGGGCCTCCTCAGCTGCCCTGCATGTGAGGGCAAGAGTAAAGCAGATGGCAGCCCGGAACACCACCTACCACTCTGCACTTCAAGGGCCTTCCCTCCCTTCTCTCTTCCCTCCCTCTCAGGCCCTCTGTCTTTTGTATCAAGTCCTGCTGCATGATGATGGGGGTCTGCTTTTCTCCAGACGGTCACAGAGCAGTGTGTGACCGTCCCTTCTGCCCTCCCCTTCTACCTGGTGCCTGCCCCTCTGGCCACTGGCCAGGAAGTGGGGCCAGAGCAGCAGGGTTCCCAGGCCTGGGGCCTCTTGGCAGTTGGCACACAACTTAGAGGTCTGGACCTGGTCTTTGGTTCCCAGGGAACAGCTTAGTGTCTGGCATTTTAGGAGTTCCTGTCATCTGAACTGGCTTCTCCCGGAGGAGCCATATGGAGGGCCAGGATCCTTCCGAGATTTCTGGGCAGGAAGACTGTCTGGCTGCCCAGCTGTGGGTGGATGGATGCTCCTGGGTGGTGGGAGCCCAGGGACAGGTAGGGAGCGGAGGATCCTGCTTTGGTCTGTGGAAGCTGGGTGGGAACCCAGACCTTGGAGCAGGGAGCTGGGAAGTGGGATTCCAGAGCCTCTGCAGCTCCTCCTCTCCCCACTTTGTATTGGTTCTCAGCCTTGCCTACGTGCCCTTTAACCTCTCCTCAAAGTGTCAAGATCCCGAAAATAGCAGTGTAGACTCAGACAGGAAATGAGAAGGGGGTGGGGAGCTGGAGAGCAGACAGACAGGAAACTGGAGGCCTGTCGGCCCCGAGAGAGGAAGCTAACTTCAGGCAGCTCCGGTGTCAGTCAGCCCCAGCCGGAGCCGGCTGCCAGATCTCAGCTGGGCTTGGTGCTCCGGCCCAGCCTCTCCGTAGCTCGGAGTGGGGCTGGAAACATGGCGCTGGTTTCCAGCTGTGGAGGAGGAGTGTCCCTGCAGGCTGTTGGGCACAGCCTTTAAAGACCCCAGGACATTCCGAGGGAACAGAGCACTGAGGACAGTCGTGGTTCCATCCTGAGCTTTCTGTCCTCTGCTCTGAACGAACCTGTAACAGTCTTCCTAGGACATGCTGTACACTTCCCTTTCAGGGCTATCTCAGCCCCAACGGCCTAGGGCGGGATGGTGGACCTGCCTGGTCTGCTGTTGTCTTTAGGGAGCCTTGTTGTCTACCCTCGTGCCTCCCTGGATGATGGGGCCCAACTCCTCAGTCTGGCTCTGAGTGGTCACAGCCATTCTGTAGTTACTTGAGTTCCTGACTGTTTCCCTGTCCTTTTCCCGTTCTGCCAAACACAGAACTCCCACCTATCCCCCTTGGCTCACTACTTTCTAAAATGCCTTTCCTTGAAATTGGTGGAGAGCCCCTAGGCTCCATGTGCCTCCGTTCCACAGCTCCCTTTGACCCTTCTTGCTGGTCTTTTGACTGAGACTTTGGTCAAGTTGGGGACTTGCTGGTCTCTGCCAGGCACGGCTCTGCGCAGGGGCTGCAGTAAATGCTCTTGATAATCATCCAATTCTTCCAAAAACATCACGCAAAGACAGCATGCTCAGCTTTGTGCTAGGCACCAGGGTCACAGAAAGTGAATGAGCCGGGCCCAGGCCTTTGAGGGGCCCCCTGAGAGCTTATTTGGCTGATGTGGTATCAGAAAGCTTGTACCTTTCCCATCCCTGGCTTCCTGGCCTAGGGGAGGTCCAGGCCGGTGAAATGGGAGGGTCTGCCATGGACTTTGATTTTCAAAATATTCCCAGCCTAGTGCTATGTTTTGGGGGATCCCAGAGGGTTTTGTTGGATCAGTGGTCCCTCTCTCTCCTTCCCCTCACCCCACTCTGTTTTCTTTATCTGTAGGTGGGTGCGGGAGTTTTTGAATGATGAAAACAAAGGCCTGGATGTGCTGGTGGATTACCTGTCCTTTGCTCAATGTTCTGTCATGTGAGTACCACCCTGGGACTGGGGCTGGCACCAGTGAGGGAGGACAGAGGACACAGTCCCATTCTGATTGAAAGAGGAAGGTGAGATTGCAGTAGTGAAGATGGGAATAGGGATCCCAGGCCAGAAGGGAGAGAACAGCGGGTGAGGGGATGGGCAGCCAAGTGAAGAATGCCAGGTGGCTGGAGTAGAAGGTGCATTTTGGGGGCAGAAGAGAGACGTGGGAAGGAAGCTCAGAATCGGAACCTAGAGGACCCGGACTCCAGGCTAGGAGCACTCCAAGGGAATGTCCTGGCTTCTGGGAGAGAGTCCCTGTTGTTCATTTGATGTTGGAAAACAAGTCTTCAAGAAGCTCCTTTGGGTCTCCAGTTGTGAGAGGGTTACTCTAAGTCACTCCAGGAGCAGTGAGCATGACTTTCGACCCAGACTGAAAATAAGACATTCAGGAGCCTTTTTCCAGCAGGTTGGGAGCTGGGAGGCAGCCAGAAGCCGATTAACACAGATGAGAAGGCAGTGGAAGGAGCAAGTGCTCTCAGGGAAGACAGAGATGGGTGTGGATCTCTGTTGTTTTCCATCTGTCTGATCTCAGACAAATGTGTGTCATCTTATATCAGAGGGGATCCACCATCTGGGGTTCTAGGCCTAGACCAGTGGTCAGCAAACTGCGGCTTGTGAGCCACATGCGGCTCTTTGGCCCCTTGAGTGTGGGTCTTCCACAAAATACCACGTGTGGGCGTGCACATACAGTGCAATTGAAACTTCGTGGCCCATGCGTAGAAGTCGGTATTTTGTGGAAGAGCCACACTCAAGGGGCCAAAGAGCCACATGTGGCTCGTGAGCTGCAGTTTGCCAACCACTGGCCTAGATGATAATGTGTGTAAAGCACTTTGCAGTATTTGAAGCATAAGTCTATACTGTACAGCCACTTTATTGTTAATTGTTAATATTCAAGGTGGTGTGCTCTACCATAGTAACCTGAATATATGGAAAGGGGTTATGGTGATCATTTATCAGAGGACTAACACATTCAAACTTACATTCGAGACTTAAGTCAGCCCTAGGGTGACCAGTTGGCCTGGTTTGCCTATGACTTTCCCCAGTTTTAATCCTGAAAGTCCCACGTACTGAGGAATTCCTCAGTCCCAGGACTCAGCCCTAGCCTCCAATTTCACATTTCTTGCTACTGTCCTTGCCCCCTGGCTGTTCTTTGTCCAGCGGGTCTTATCTCGTCTCCTTAGGGTTTCAAACTAATGCCTTTCCTAGGTTTGGCCTCTGTTGTCTTTTCTAGGTCATCTCTGTTAAAGCCAAGAGTGGCCCACTCCCTATTCCCATCCCTGCAGAAGTGCCTCATGAGCCTCCTCTCCCTTTAAAAACAATTCTTTTTATAGAATGAAATGAAAAACATTTACTGGAGTGATTTTTTAAAAATTCAGAACTTTAAAAGTAAAAAGATATAGGTCATTTTTCCAAATAAGCCTATCTTGTTTGAAAAGCAAACAAATCCCGGCTAAACCAAAATACACTGGGACCTCAGGACTACACGGTCCACAGCACTGCCTCTGCTCTGTATTTGAAAGGAAGACTTGGGGTGGGCGTAGGTGTGGAAGGAGTGAGGGCTTTCAGGGAAGACAGAGAAGGGATCACACCCTGACGAACTAAGGCCGCCAGGCCACACCCTGGACTTGTGTGATTCCTTCCCCCAAGGAAGCTGAGGCCCGCGGAGCCTCTGTACCTGAAAAGCCTGAAAGCTTCATGTAGAACCACAGAAAGCCAGTCATTCGAATCCAGGATAGTATGGGACCGCCATCTCCTCCTGAAACAAAGGCTGTCCCTCTCTGGGTTTGCTAGGACCCCTGTTTTCTTCCATTCTGACCTGCCCTCAATCCCAGCCCAGAAACAGTGGGGCTCCCTCAGGGCACTCAGGCACCTTTGGCCGCTGCCATTTGCCAACTAACAAGACCTGCAGTTGGCGTGTTCCTGCAGCTGGCAGGTTCTACGTGGGGAGCCCCAGCTTCTCGGAGATGTCCCATCTGAGGCTGAGAGTGCAGCAAGTATCCAGCTCCCCACATCCCTTTGGGCCCATGGGGTGGTCACTCCTTGAGTCGCCTGGCCACTGGGCGCAGCACTGGCCTCCGTCAGCATTCCTGTCTCCCCAGACCCCCTCCTGGTTGCTTCCTGTGCCCGCTCTGCCCTTGTCCTATGTTGTTGGCTCTCCCAACCAGGTTGGGTCTCTGTTGCCCAATTCCACTTTCTCTTCTGATGCTCTTGCTTATTGTTGCCCTAGAAGTCTACAGGGCAGGGGTGGGCTTGCCAGGGGTCTCGGCACTGAATTTCTCCTGTGTGTGCGCATATGTCCTTTCCTGCTCCAGGTTTGACTTTGAGGGTCTGGAGAGTGGTGACGATGGTGCATTTGACAAGCTCCGGTCCTGGAGCAGGTCCATCGAGGACCTGCAGCCACCCAGCGCCCTGTCAGCCCCCTTCACCAACAGCCTCGCTCGCTCTGCGCGCCAGTCTGTGCTCCGGTATGTGTGCTCTTGCTCTGCCCGCCTGCCTCCCCCAGCCCCAGTCCAGGTCCTGGGTAACAGCGGTGAGTGCTCATGCGCCTCCCTCCACTCTTGCTTCCAGGCTCAGCTCTCTTGCCTCTGCCTGCCAGTCTGTCTCTGGTCTGTCCTCTTTGTCTCCTTGATTCTGCCCAGCGATCTGTCCTGGGTAAGTACATCACCCTCAGCTATGCCCACCCCATCTGGGGTTCTTCCTCGCCCCTTCTCTGGGGGCCCCTCCATTCCTCATTCTCGCTCTGCCATTCCTGCCAGTCTCTCAGGCAGGGCTGTACTCATCCAGCTCCCTCACCTTCACCGAGTGCTCCAGCTCCGGCCCTCCTGTCTGTTTCCCTCTGGCTCTGCTCTGTGCTCCATCAGCTGCTCGGAGCCCAGCCTGCCCCCTGCTCACCCTCCCTTCACGTCTTCCTTTAGGCCTGTTCTCTCCAACACTCCCAGGTATTCATTTGTCTGCAGTATCTTAAGAGCTGTCCTGCCTGGAGGCAGGTGTACGGACCTGATGACTTGTCCAAGCCCTGGCCACCTAGGGAGGCTTTCCTTTAGGTCCTGTGGTCTCTCTCTCATGCCACACTCCTTTCTCCTGTCTCCCTTGGGTTTTGCACTCTGACACTGCTCATCACTCCAGTCATGCATGAGCAGATACCATTTGTGCTTCCTCTTTCTTCATGAGACATCATTGGGCAGGGGCGGGGATGCAAAGTCAGATGTAGCCCCAGGTACACCTAAAGCCTTTGGGGTCTGTACTGCCTTTTCTGGGACATAGAAGTGGGATGGGAGCCAAGAGCTCCTGCCCCAGGGAATGTGTGGAAGATACAGTGACTGGAAGGAGGAGGAGGAAAGGCTCAAATGAACATCTCCCTGGGCCCCTCGAGGACTAGGAAGGGGTACACACCTACTGTTGTATTTTGAAGGACCTCTGGGAACTAATTATACAGCAGGGTCCTGGATAGTTCCTGATGAAGGCCTGCTCCAGGGAGGTGACCCGGCTGAGCGCCCTGCCCCTGCACTCTCTCTCTCTGGGCTGGTGGTACAAGGCCCTCTTTCCCCCTCCTCTGCTGCTGCTGAGGGACAGCCTGCTGTCTGGATGTTGGTGAGCACTCCTAGGCCTTTCGCCAACGGCCGCCTCTCCTCCAGGTACAGCACTCTGCCTGGGCGCAGGGCCCTGAAGAACTCCCGCCTGGTGAGCCAGAAGGATGATGTCCATGTCTGCATCCTTTGTCTCAGAGCCATCATGAACTATCAGGTAAGGGGGCAGCACCAGCCACAGGGCTCGGCCTCTTCTGCCTCACCTCCCAAACCAGGAGAGCTAGGAGGGCGCCAGCTTTAAAAGAAGTTTGTCGGTGGGCCTACAGTCAAGTCAAGGATCTGCCTTCCCCACCATCAAGGTCTCTTCTCCTTCTGCTTTTTCCCCTTGCTACAGTACGGCTTCAACCTGGTCATGTCCCACCCCCATGCTGTCAACGAGATTGCGCTCAGTCTCAACAACAAGAATCCAAGGTGAGCTCCTTCCCTCCCCTTTCCTCCTCACTCTGCACAGGACTCTGGAGTTCTGGGCTCCACCTGTCCCTGGCTGTGGAGTCCTGTGGCCTCTGCTGGAGAGAAGCAGTGTCCCGGGCTTCCCTGTGGTCTGCACAGCTTAGTGAGGGAGCAGCCTGCCTTCCGCCTTCTCTTTTGTACCCAGCCTCTCCCCTTACCGCTGAGGCTGGCTCCACTCTCTGAAAGGACTCGCCAGTTGTGCAGTTGAGCTGTGTGGTGGCCATGGTGGGGAGCTAAGGTGTTAATCTTCCTTCTTTGCCCTTCAGGACCAAAGCCCTTGTCTTGGAGCTCCTAGCAGCCGTGTGTTTGGTGCGGGGAGGTCACGAAATCATTCTTGCTGCCTTTGACAACTTCAAAGAGGTCAGTCTTCTGCCCTAGCCGGTTTGGCTCAGTGGATAGTGTTGGCCCACAGACTGAAGGGTCCTGGATTTGATTCCAATCAAGGGCAAGTACCTAGGTTGCAGACTTGATTCCTGGCCCTGGTCAGGGCATGTGCAGGAGGCAACCGATTGATATGTCTTTCACATCAATGTTTCTGTCTCTCCCCCTTCCTTCCACTCTCTCTAAAAATCAATGGAAAAATATCCTCAGGTGAGGATTAACACACAAAAAAACACAAACAAAAACCAAAGAGGTCAGCCTTGTGTGTGTGTGTGTGTGTGTGTGCGTGTGTGTGTGTGTGTGTGTGTATCTGGCAGGAGGAGGTGGGAATACGGTAGGTAAGCCGCCTTTCCTGCAGTCTTACACATCCCAATGATTCCATCATTTTAACATCCCAGTGTTTACCTAGGTAGCTTGTCAACCTCTTCCCCTCCCCCCTAGTTTTCAACAAAACCAGCATTTCAGTCTTATCAGATTGTGTCAGAGAAGTTATGAATCGGCCAGCTAAGGATGCCCTCAGAGAGCCAAGGTCTCTAATCCAGTGGTCCTAGTCTGGCCGTGCATCAGAATGCCCGGAGAGCAGGTTCCCCAGGTGTTCTGAGGCAGCGGACCTACTGATTGAGCCCAAGGCAGGTATCTTTGCAGTGAGAGGAGAAGGCAGGCCAGGATCCTCCTGGGTTGGTGGCTGATGTTGGTGAGGGGAGAGGGAGCTTCTTCTTGGAATTTCCCCAGCTCTGGGCCTGGCTCTGAACCCGTCTGCTTGAACATAGGATTCCTCGACATCCAGCTGCAGCTGCTGGCCCACCCCTCCCCTCTCCTCTGTGCACTGCTTCCCCAGCAGCCATTGTTCAGCCAGGAAGTGGCTCTTCCTCCTCAAAGCAGAGCTCCGTGGAGTCTCGGGACCCTCTCAGCACGGGGACTGTCCTGCCTCCTGGCCTCTCCTGCATCCCCACTAGGACCTCAGCCCCTGCTCAGCCAGGCCCTCCAACCTTCCTCCTGCTCCCTCCTTCCTTCAGTAACTTGGCCACAGCAAACCCGTTTCTTATAGGCCTCCTCCCAGAGGCTCCTTATTGAACTCCAGGAGGGAACCAGGGCAGATGCCAGGTCCCAGGCTTTCTTCTGTCATGTCCCGAATGGCTCATTGCAGAGAAACAATTGTGGTTAAACTTGGTCTGAATCAGTCCTCTGGCCATGGTGTCCCTGGGAGCCAGGGCTCAGGGGTGTGGGCTCTGCCTGGGGCAGGTCCTTTCTCTGAGAAGTTCGATTGTTCAGGTATGCAAGGAGCTGCACCGCTTTGAGAAGCTGATGGAGTACTTCCGGAATGAGGACAGCAACATCGACTTCATGGTGAGGAACTGGGTCTGGGCCCAGCAGGGAGGCGTGCCCCGGAGAACGGGCCAGGCGGACAGTGGATTTTGGTCTTCTGTGTAGAGCCTAGAATGCTTCTCTCTACCCTGTAAATGCTCCTTGTCCACTGGCCCACCCCAGAGAGCTTTTAGAAACTGTAAGACAGTGTCATTGGGGCATCCCGAGTCTGCCTTCTTCCCCCTTTTGATGCCCTTGCCATCCCTGGTTGGGACCCTCTTTGAGCTGCTTTCCCTTTCCCCGGGCTCTTCCCCAGCTTCTCTGCTCTTCAGTAGGATTTTCAGCTAAGCAGGGATGCCTCAAGGAGTACCTACTGATGTGCAGAGGAAAGCAGAGCGGTGCTTTAGTGACACCTATTTCTCATGTAATTTACTTACCTTAATACTCTGAAGGCCAAGTTTGATCTTTTTTAAGTTAAAATGCTCTTTTGCTCGCAGAAAGATGTAACTTTTTTATTCACTGCTTTTGATTATCCAGCTGACGATGCTGGTTCTAACAGCCTTCCACCCTCCCTTTCTCTTGGTCTCTCCCCATTGGTCTCTCCCCTGTCTCTTCCCATTGGGGCCGCTTCTCCCCAGGTGGCCTGCATGCAGTTTATCAACATCGTGGTGCACTCGGTGGAGGATATGAACTTCCGGGTCCACCTGCAGTATGAGTTTACTAAGCTGGGGCTGGAGGAGTTCCTGCAGGTGAGCCGGGCTGAATCCTCATAGGGTGAGGAGCTTTGGGTCAAAGGACCAGCTGAGCCATGTTACAAAGGTGTTTTTGTTGTTGTTTGTTTTTTATAAAACCCTAGTCATGGATGCTCCTGGTATCCTGCCTGTCTGCTATGGCATGGGACTCAGACCCGCCCTCAGAGGGCGTCCCAGTCAGGCAGCTCCCTGGGGCGAGAATCCGGCATAGCCGCAGTAGGAATCCCCTGGGTCTTGAGCTTTAGGAAGCAGCCGAGGAGGGTGGTGAGGACTAAGTCTTTCTCAGGAGGCTCCCCAACCATGATGCCCTCTGCTCTCCCCAGAAGTCAAGGCACACAGAGAGCGAGAAGCTGCAGGTGCAGATCCAGGCATACCTGGAGAACGTGTTCGACGTGGGGGGTTTGCTGGAGGATGCCGAGACCAAGAACGTGGCCCTGGAGAAGGTGGAGGAGCTGGAGGAGCATGTGTCGCACGTAGGTGGTGGGTCCTCCTCTGCCCCAGAGCCACCGTTGGGGGCGAATCCTGAGCTGACCCACCTGCCTCCAGATGGGGCACCACCGGGCCCTTTAAAGCATTCCTCGGACCACCCAGAGATTGACACACACTGCCCTCCCAGCCCGGGCGTGAGGTGGTCTCTGTCTCAAGAGACTCGGCTGTGGCCATTTGTCATACTGTTTCACGTGGTCGCAGACCCTGGGCCCACGGGAGCAACGTAGGGAACCTGCCAGGCCAAGCGGCCCTGGGGCCCGGGTCCTGACTGGGATCCAGGCTGTGCTGAGTGCCCAGGCTTTAGGGCCAGCCCCAAACCTGCCCTTCCCGTCCTGCAGCTCACAGAGAAGCTTCTGGACCTAGAGAACGAGAACATGATGCGGGTGGCGGAGCTGGAGAAGCAGCTGCTGCAGCGGGAGAAGGAACTTGAGAGCATCAAGGTGCCAGCAACTGGGGAGGGAGGCCCGACTGCCACTGGTGCCAGGGCCTGAGGGTTGTTTCTCTTTCCTGAGTCATGTCAAGTCTCTGAGAGTCCAGCTCTTGATTCATGACCTTGAGGCACGCAGATGTGAGTGGGCTGATGATTTCACCCCATATTTTGGTTGGAGAGACAAGCTGAAGCCAGAGTGGGCCAGACATGCACAGAAAAAGGTGGGAGTGTGTGGGGCACCAGCCCTCCCCTATAAGCCGTCCTGCTGCACCTCCCAGCTTCCCCAGCCCTGCGTCATCAGCAGCTCAGAGTAGCCCAGTCCTCTGGGCTGTTACTAGGAGACCCACCAGCAGGGGTTCCTCATATTTCAGTGTCTTCTCTGTCCCCTGAGCTAACTTTTTGTTAGTTATAAAATCATGCCTCAACCGATCTTTTCTTCCGAAGGAATACAGTTATACTGGCTCTGTTGAGCTCAGTCTACACCGAGTGGCCAGATTATGACCATCTGATGTTTGTAGGCAAATTAGCTGTACACTGCATTGTATGGGATATGGAAGCCGAAGTCCTGTTCAAACATCTTTGCTGTCTGCAGTCGCCAAGATAAAATGTCTCCAATTCACACATGAACACAAGGATTGGACAGTCGAGCATTGGAAAAAAGTCATGTGGTACAATGAATCACGTTTCCAGTTGCATCATGTAGATGGCAGAGTGAGAATTTGGCGGAAACAGCATGAAAGCATGTACCCCACATGCATGAGTACAACTCTTCAAGCTGGTGGGGGCAGTGTTATGGTTTGGGGCATGTTTTCCTGGCATGATTTGGGCCCTTTAATTCGTGTGGAATAATGTCTGAATAGCACAACATACCTAAGTATCGTCACTGATCAGGTTCATCCTATCATGTTGATGGCCTATCCCAATGGAGATGGCTTCTTCCAACAAGACAACGCGCCATGCCACGGTGCCCGTATTGTGCAGGAGTGGTTTCAAGAACATGAGGGAGACTTTACCTTGCTTAGGTGGCCCCCACAATCACCAGATCTCAATCCAGTTGAGCATTTGTGGGACGAAGTTAAAAGAGCCATCAGGCAGCTGGTACCACAACCATCAAGTCTCACAGAACTGGACAGTGCTATTCATCAGGCATGGTGTCAGATTCCTCGCATCACCTTTCAACATCTCGTGGAGTCAATGCCAAGAAGAATCGCCGCAGTGTTGAAGGCAAAAGGTGGCCCAACGAAGTACTGATGGGGTGGTCATAATAATCGGGCCACTCATAATAATATATAGCCCACGTTCAAGTGCTATTAAATCACATTGTGTACCCATATCTTCAGGCAAAAAAAATCACTTCTACTGTCGTGGTAAACAACCTGCTTCCCTATTTATAATGGTCTAGCCTCTAGCAACTTCAGCATGAACTTATAGCTAATTTGCCTACAAACGTCAGGTGGTCATAATAATCTGGCCACTCAGTGTATATCTGCTGCGTCCCAGCTAGGAGTCGGAAGCACTGCATCAGGAGTATGGAGGATACAGAGAGGGCTCAGGCAGGGTCTTGTCTGTAGGGGCTCCCAATTGAGCGAGTACACGGGTCAAATGAAATGGGAGCAGTGATGCGCACAGAGAGCTGAGAGCCGCATAGCAGGCCGGCAGTGGGTCAGGAAGAGTTGCCCAGGGGCACCTTCTACCTGGGCCTGGAGGGACCATGAGACTAAGGTGGGAGCAGAAAGGAAGGACACAGCAGGCCTCTGTGCTCCTCATTCCAGCTTCCCCTGGTCCCCACCCCAGCTTCTAGCAGAAGCAGAGATTCCCAGCTGGGAGACCCTTGGACAGGAAGTTTCACTCCGGGGGCAGTGACTGCCGTGCCTTCAGCCCTCTCTTTTCTGAATGATGCGTCTGCCCAACAGGAGACTTACGAGAACACGAGCCACCAGGTGCACACCCTGCGGCGGCTCATTAAAGAGAAGGAGGAGGCCTTCCAGCGCCGGTGCCACTTGGAGCCCAATGCCCGGGACTTAGAGTCGGTGGGCAGTGAGGCCCTGGCCCGGGCGGGCTCTGCAGAGCTGAGCATGGGCATGCCATCCTCTGACCTAGACCTCCTGGCTCCAGCCCAGCCCCCTGAGGAGGCCCTCCCTTTGCCTCCTCCACCTGCTCCTCCCTTGCCCCCTCCACCTCCCCCTTTACCAGGTAAGGAGGACCCTGGGAGCTAGGAGTGGCAGCCTCATTGTGGGGGCCAGACCCAAACCCCAGCCAGCAGAGCCTTTCTTAGGGAGAAGCTGGGGACTGGGCTGGAAGGGCGCGGCAGGTGGGAGAGGGCCGAGGGGGTGGTCTAGAATCTGAGGGAGGCTCAAGTTACTAGGGACGGGAAGTCTAAGGGTGGACACGGATCTGCTTTAAGGATCAGAAAGCTGCTGCTCCTGATTCCTCTGAACACAGCCAAGGAGGGCTGTGATCAAAGCAAGAGAGTGGGCCAGAGACCACCAAGGCCTGCCCCATCAGAGTTAGGACCCCTGGCAGCCACTTGGGCTGGGAGTTCATGCAGCCTTCTTCCCTGAGGCTTTTTTTTTAATACTCACCTGAAAATATGTTTAGAGAGAGGGAGAGGGAAAAGGAGAGAGAGAAAGAGAAACATTGATCGGTTGCCTTCCGTATGCACCCACAACCTAGGTATGTGCCCTGTCTGGGAATTGAACCTGTAATCTTTGGTGCAAGAGACAACGCTCCAACCAACTGAGCCACCTGGCCAGGGCCACTGAGAGTCTTTAAGGCCAAGTGGGATTGGGGAGGGGGGGACGGGCTCTGAAGGGTCTCTTGGCCCCTGGGCCACTGTACCATTCTTCTCCCCCCAGACAAGTGTCCCCCCGCCCCACCTCTCCCTGGTGCCGCTCCCTCTGTGGTGCTGACAGTAGGCCTGTCAGGTGAGTGTTCCCAGGGCTCTGGCCAGGGCTAGTGGGACCAAGGGGCTAGTGGGACACACTCCTTGGCCCCTGCCTCACTGGTCCTCCTTTCAAATTAGCCATTCGCATCAAGAAGCCTATCAAGACCAAGTTCCGGCTGCCTGTCTTTAACTGGACAGCGCTGAAACCCAATCAGATCAGTGGCACCGTCTTCAGCGAACTTGATGATGAGAAAATCTTGGAGGTAGCAGGGCCTGGGGCCCTGAGAGGGAAGATGGGGGCCGGGGACCAGGTTGCCCTTTTAGCCAGATCTCCTGGCCTTGAGAAAGCCCTCAGACTTAGCCTTCCGTGATCCAGAACTGAGCTGATGCTTCTGGGAGGGCTGCTAGGGCTCCTCTAGTAGTAGAGGCCACAGCATTTTCCTTCTCATCAACCTCTGCCAGGACCTGGACCTGGACAAGTTTGAAGAACTGTTCAAGACGAAAGCCCAGGGCCCTGCCCTTGACCTCATCTGCTCTAAGAACAAGACAGCACAAAAGGCCGCCAGCAAGGTGACCCTGTTGGAAGCCAATCGTGCCAAGAACCTGGCCATCACCCTACGCAAGGCTGGCCGCTCAGCTGAGGAGATCTGCAGGGCCATCCACACGTGAGGCTCCCACTGACCTGGCCCTGGTCCCCAGCCAGTTGGAAACCCAGTTCTCCACCTTGGATTCCAGGGCATTGGCAGAATTGCTTCACACCCCCCCCCCTTTTTTTTTAATATATTTTATTGATTTTTTACAGAGAGGAAGGGAGAGAGATAGAGAGTTAGAAACATCGATGAGAGAGAAACATCGATCAG